GCACAGCCGCCAGGTGAGGCCCGCCGGCCCCCGCCCGACCTTCGGGCCCCCGCCCGGCGCTATGGCCCCCTCCCCGGAGGCCGCCCAGCCCAGCATCCTTGCAGCCGCCCCGAGCCGAAGCGCCAGTCACCTGCCGAGACCCCTGGAACCTCTGGCTTTGGCTCCCAGCCTGGGCCTTACCCGCCTGGGCCACCCACCCCGTACTGCATCAAGCCCTAACTAAGCTGGGCAGAAGGCATCCAACCCTGGACAGCCGTCTCCAGGCTCATCCATACTCCTAACGACACAGATCTGCACTTCTGCCTGGCCATGACCTCACCCCAACAGAGGGCGGGAGATGGGCAGTGCCCCCCTGTGCCAGGATGCGCCATGCCCCTGGTCTGTCAACCTTCCTTATTCCCTGCAGTGCTCCCTAACCCCATTCAACCCAGTGTTCCCTTGCCTGGGCCCCGCCTCTCTGTCCTTGCTGAGTGTCCCATCTCCCCCAGCATGACATTGAACAGGAGGACCCCCGGGGGCGGACCCCCCTGGAGCTGGCCGTGTCCCTGGGGAACTTGGAGTCCGTAAGAGTCCTCCTGCGACACAGTGCCAACGTGGGCAGAGAGAGCCTGCAGGGCTGGGCAGGTAGGGGCAAGCACGGGGGTGGGGGTAGGGGTGGGGGGGAGGGGGTGGTGCCAGAAGCCAGCCCAGAGCTGTCTCAAGGGCTCCCCTCAGCAGCCTGGTGCCCCCCAGTCCTGCAGGAAGCAGTCAGCACCGGGGACCCTGAGCTGGTGCAGCTAGTGCTTCAGTATCGAGACTACCAGAGGGCCACCCAGAGGCTGGCGGGCATTCCAGAACTGCTCAACAAACTCCGCCAGGTACCGTGGACACAGGGGAGTGGCTGGGAAAGGGCCCCCCCTGGTCACTTGGGCCGGGTCTGGGTTTCTCACCACTGTGGACAAAGACTGGCCCTCTCGACCTCCTCACCCATGGTCATTCATGTAGGACACCTGGGGCTGAGAGCAGGCCCTTGGGCAGGAAAGCCCTGCCCGGTGTCCAGGGGTCCCTGGTGGAGGTGCTAGCACTTTAGGCTTTCGGCTTCATGGAAAACAGAGTCTCTGTGTGGGGGGCATGTGAGATCTCCTAGAGGGGTGTGGGCTGGGCCCCTGGAAGAGTTGCACATGCTCCTGAAGGTAGGTGGAGGGGTCTGGCTGGCTAAGCACCCATTGATCCCCATGCTCCGCATCCCAGGGACAGGCCCGGAGGGACTCGTTGTAATCTCCTTTGCAGGGGAGGATTCCAACTCAGAGGGGCAGCCCCCACAGGGCCCCCAGCAAGCCCGTGGCCATTGAGGCTAGCCCCCAGACCTCCAGGGGCTGCAGCCCGATTCTCAAAGACCCCACTTGTCTCCCTTTTCTGGGCAGGAATTGACAGGGCTGAGGGTGGCATATCAGGGCCAGCTGGAGGGCTGGGGTCCCAGGAAGGGAGTATGGAGCGCCGGGGCCACTGGCGCCCACACCCCAGAGACCCTAACGGCAGCTCTGGTCCACTGTAGGCCCCTGATTTCTACGTGGAAATGAAGTGGGAGTTCACGAGCTGGGGTGAGTGGGGCTGCTGGCTCCGGGTCTTGGGGTGGGCTGTGGGGAGTAGTCGCAGTAACCTCGCTGCCCCTGCAGTGCCCCTGGTGTCCAAAATGTGCCCCAGCGACGTGTACCGTGTGTGGAAGCGTGGGGAGAGCCTTCGAGTGGACACCAGTCTGTTGGGCTTTGAGCACATGACCTGGCACCGTGGCCGGAGGAGCTTCATCTTTAAGGGCCAAGGTGAGCGCCGCCCACCGGCCCCTGCCTGCACCCCAGACACAGACCCTCAGTTGGGGGGGGCGGTGTTCCCCTCTGCTTTGAGCCTACCTCTGACTTGTGCCCCATCCCACCCATGGTGGCTGGCAGAGTCGGGGGCCCTGGTGATGGAGGTGGACCACGACCGGCAGGTGGTACACACGGAGACACTGGGCCTTGCCCTGCATGAGCCGGAAGTGCTGCTAGCCGCCATGCGGCCCAGCGAGGAGCACGTGGCCAGCCGCCTCACCTCTCCGATTGTCTCCACCCACCTGGACACTCGCAACGTGGCCTTTGAAAGGTCAGCCGGGGCATGGTCACTGTGGGTGAGATGGGGCAGGGGCAGAAGCCTTCAGTGTTGAGAGCAGGCCTCCGAGAGGCTGCTTAAATGGGAGGGTTGGTGTCATGCCAGTCACTGCCTGTGGTGGCCAGGCTCTTGGGGCTTCGACCTACCCTGTACCTGTCTGTCTCGGCAGCTTTATTCCCGGGGAGAGAGGAGGACAGGACATCCGGTCTGTTTTTTTCTGATCTCATTTGTTCCCCTAACAAGGATTTTGGCTGGGGGTTAGGGCAGTACGTGCTCACAAAAACAAGCTGTATTGAAGTATCATTCACCTATTTGAAGTGTGCAATTCAGTGGTTCTTAGTATATTCATAGATCCATTGAAACACCACCACAATTCTAGAACATTTTCTTCAACAGAAGCCAGCCCTGAGCAATCCCCGATCTCCTCTCTGG